TAGAAAAGTTAAAGTCATCACGTTTATCCGAGCTTGGTTGTTAGATTATTATTAACGTTTTTTTCAAGTAATATATCCAAATATGAAACAGATGTGTCACACTCTGTGGCATCTTTTATCACAAGCTCACCAGGATATATCGTATCAACATAAGAATGGAAATTGTTAATTGAATACGTCGTCGATATATCTAAATGTCGAGTTGAAGACAACAGCAAGTGTGTCCTCTTTACAAGCATAGGATTTTGCACAAATTCTGCTTCATATCAATATAAAAATAGGTCTACTAATAACGGGGTGCAATTGATACCCATAGGAATTCCAATTGATTGTAAGAAGATCTGTTCCCCCAAAAAGATATTGTCAATCATAAACTCAAGCATCTTTTTTGTATGTTGACTTCAGAGTAGTTGTGTGTACAATCAGAATGTTTTTAACAAAACAATTTTGCATTTAATGACCATTGACAAGGTAAAATAATTTAGGAATTCCATTTCTATTAAAAAGGAGCTGTAAATTATATCGAAAAGCTTGGACTTTAATTTATCGTGGGGAATGGTTGTGTGCATATAGGATCTCCCATGATTTGTAGTTGGATGTGAATTTTATATAATGAGTTGTGTGATTTCTATACCCAGGCCTTGGCGAGGGGATAAAAACAACACAACGAGTTGGATAAAAGTCATAGCCAACTACAAATCATGTGAGGTTCTTTATCACATGTTTAATATTTCACAACCGAAGTTTTACACTGTTGTTATACAGGACTCGACTTTATTTTACTTGATCACGCTAACGCAGAAACCATTGTGATGTCATAACTGCACATAACTGTGGGATATGAAAAATTTATCCAATGAGTCATTTCCTTGGGATGGGGTAAACATGGGATAAAAAAATATAATAACCTGAAGAAACTGAGAAAGTGCACGTTGGATTTTGCATTTCTGCATTTATATTGGATAATTTATGTGATAATGATACTTTCAGCATAATTTATTTTTCTAATCCCCAATTTTGATATAAGAGTTATATAAAAACTAAATGATGTGCTTTAAAAAGAAAAGAAATTATTTCCTTTATTACAGTGGCTGATGATGACTCACCATTGAAGACATTTATCAGGATAAATACTGCAGATTTAAAACCAGACCCGACTAGTGCAGTTGACATCTCCGATACAAATGAACAAGAAGACAATTTGGAACTAGGAAGTACTGATAAAAGCACTGAAGTAATTCATTACAGAGAAGAAAAGAAAGAAAAAGATGCTGAGAGGTCCAGTTCACCAATTGAAGGCAAAGAAGAAAAGAAAGAAGAGAATGTGGAAAAATCTATGTCCCCGAGTGAAGGCGAAGAAGAAGAGAATACATTAGAAATAATGGCCAATATTCTCTCCTCAGAGGCACAAGCAATGGTTAAGGACGGACTTTTTGAAAAAATCTTGTCTGAAAAAGAAAAGTTACCAACAGTAAGCATGCTGGATTTTGCTGGCCAGTTAGCTTATTATGCTTGCCACCAAATTTACGTAACACCAAAGGCCTTCTTCGTCCTTGTGTTGGACATGACCAGGAGGTTTGAAGATGTTGTCAGCAAAGACAAAGATAACCAGGAAGGATCAATCTTCTCTGTGTGGACTTACAAAGGTAAGACAGGAAAAACGATATCAAGATGTTACAAATGTAAGACATTATTAGCTCTTCTGAGCCAAAGGCTCAAAGAGCTAATGCTAAAAGGCTCAAAGAGCTAATGCTATGGCCATTTGTGCAGTGTGCGTCGTGCGGTGTAAGTTAACTTTATAGAATATGGGCCATAACTCAAGAACTCCTACGCCAATTATTGTCAAATTTGTCAGAGGGTATCCTTGACCCAAGGGCCACCATTTATACTAAAATTAGGGATGGGACCCTAAAACAAGGGGAGATAATCACAAAAATAAAACCAAAAGTACTGGTTGCTAAAAAAATTTTTTTTCTCCAAAACCATAGAAGGTAGATTTTCACAAAGCTTACATACAAGGATCAGGATATGTCGAAGATTAAAATTTGCACAGGGAATAACCCTGGGGCAAAGGGCGTGGACTTAAGGTCACTTCAAAGTTGACCAAAATTTACACTTATTATAAACATTGATATTTTGCTTACCATTAAGACTAGGATCATCAAATTTTGTAAGTTGATGCATCTCAGGATTTGACATCATGTTAATACAAAAGTAGGTCACGGTGACGTACTTTTTAAATTTTATGGGCTTTTGTTTTCAAATTGATTTGGAGGCATATTTTGAATACGTTAAGGCCTATGATCATAAGACTTTGTCAGTTGGTGCATCTTGGGTCCACAAACAACATCAACTTAAAAGTAGGTTATCATGGCCTACTTTTTGAATTTTATGACTTATCTTTTCTAAAACATTTAATCCCATTATTTTAGACACCGAGAGGTTAAGAATCACCAAATCTTGTAAATTGATGCATCTAGAGGTCTTAAAAACACTGTGACCTACTTTTTGAACTTTGCAGGCATTTGTTTTTAAATTGTTTAAAAGGCATATTTTGAATAGTATTAGACCTGTGATCATCAAATTTTGTCAGTTTATGCATCTTTGGTCTTCAGAAAATGTCAACCAAAAAGTAGGTCACTGTGACCTACTTTCGACATTTTATGGCTAGATTTAAGTATCTCGGGTACTAATTGGCTTAGAATCATTAAAATTTGACAGTTGATGCATCTTTGGTTTTCGGAGAATGTCAACCAAAAAGTAGGTCACAGTGACCTACTTTTTAAATTTTATGGCTATATTTTAGTATCTTAGGTACTTATTTGGTTAGAATCATCAAACTTTGTCATTTTATGTTTCTTGGGTTTTCAGAGCAACATGACCAAAATTTAGGTCACAGTGACCTATTTTTAACATTTTATGGCTAGTTTTATGTATCTCAGGTTCTAATTGGTATAGAATCATCAAATTTTGTCATTTGATGCATCTTGGGTTTTTAGAGAATATCGACTAAAAGTAGGTCCAAAAGTAGGTCACAGTAACCTATTTTGTCATTTTATGGCTATATTTAGGTATTCTAGGGTACTTATTGGCTTAGAATTGTCAAAATTTGTCAGTTTATGAACCTTGGGACTCATTGGTTTAAAATCATTAAACTTTAATATTTGATGCATCTTGGGTTCTCGGAAAATGATGATCAAAATATATAACACAGTGACCTACTTGTGACATTTATGACTATATTTAAGTATTCTAGGGTACTTATTGGCTTAGAATTGTCAAAATTTGTCAGTTTATGAACCTTGGGTTTTTTGGAGAATGTTGACCAATAAGTAGGTATCTGTGACCAACTTTTGAATATCTCATGTACTCACTGGCTTAGAATCATCAATCTTTGTCAATTAATGCATCTTGTGTCATCAGAAAATTTCAATCAAAAAGTAGGTCACCATGATCTACTGTCACGACACCCTAAGCTTGATCAGTGATAACAAAACTATTTTCTATTTACAATTTTATATAAAAACAAATATGTACAAATATACAAAATGAAATTAATGAATTTCAAAATGTCTATCAGTGTCCATCCTGAGACCACGTTCCTATATCCGTCCGCGCCTCCTGTGTTTAACAGTCCATGACCTACGGGGACCACGCCCTTACACCAAATGCCACCACGTCCTCGACGTCCCGCGCCTATCCCACGCGTCTTAAGCGTCTGCAATGCTGCCAAATCCGGGAAACCACGTTTCCTCTCTCACGGTCTCGGCCCAGCGTACCACGCCCTTAGGTTGCCTCCGCCGACAGCACCAAATCATACTAACATACATGTATCAATAGGGACCTTCAACAAATATGCGTAGACATAACAAGCTTGACCCCGAATGGGCTGCCTTACAACATAACATAAATGTTTACACATATACTTGTTTAAACATACAGTTTTAACTAACATGTATCACACCGCTTCGCAAAGCAAAATAATGTACAATATAACGTTACACTCTCAGTAATAAACTAATATCATTACTTTACGCTTAAACTCACGGCATGTGCATGTGATAAAATTCCCATATACAATTCAAACACTTTCTCGTGGATAAAAATAAAAGAAGCTCAATTAACATATTACTGCATTACTTTTTAATATAATAAATGTAAGTAAATTACACTTACCCTGATTGGAGATTCAGTTACCACGAAAAACTACCTAACCCTCCATGGACATGTGAAACTTCTTTCACTGGTCAAGGAAAACGTGCACTACCCAAGACAAACCTGACATAACCTTATATAGCGACTGGCCAAATATTTAAATCACCTGAGCGTTACAATGGGGCTCCTTGCAGGATCAACACTAAATACAAATAAGGCTCAACACAGGGCAATACTAATAAAAGAAAAATAAATATGTAACAAAATCAACTTTGATTGTGACATCACCTCCCCAATTCAAGAAAGTTCACTGAACTTGTGCAAAACTCACAATCAACAACAACAAAAAACATATGTACAAAACTACAATGTTCATAATGTCTCACTCAAATTCTACAGCCTACTTAGACAATCGGCTCCCACGTTCTCTGATCCTTTAATCGCCACAATACGGAACCTGTAAGGCTGCAAAAGTAAGGACCATCTCATTAGTCTTGCATTAAGCACTTTAGATTGAGATAAATAAATCAGCGGCTGATGGTCTGTCTCCAACATCAATTGTTTTCCGTACAAATATCTCTGAAATTTCTGAACTGCCCATATGATAGCAAAACATTCTTTCTCGATCGTAGAATACTTAACTTGCTGCGCTGTAAGTTTCTTACTGGCATAAGCAACGGGTTTCTTGATACCATTCTCATACTGGAGAAGAACCGCTCCAATGCCAACATCTGATGCGTCTGTTTGCAAGATGAATTCTTCGTTGATGTTCGGCAGCTTTAGTACTGGCGTTACCATTAGTGCTGATTTAAGGGTGATGAAAGCGTTCTGCTGAGTCTCTCCCCACACAACTTTGTTTGGTTGTCCCTTTTTCGTCAGGTCGGATAATGGTGCGGCAACAGCTGAAAAATGGGGAATAAACTTGCGACAAAACCCAACCAAACCGAGAAAAGATCTTACTTGTTTCTTTGTTGTAGGTCTTAAACAGTTCTGGATTGCTTCAACCTTATCGGGAATGGTCTGAGTTCATCTTTTCCTGCAATGTATCCCAAACATTCTATACTGCTGAATCCAATGAAATATTTGCTTGACTTGGCTGTCAAGTTAGCTGCCTGCAATCTTTGTAGGAACTCCTTTATCACCATCAAATGGTCCTGAAAAGTTCTAGTATAAATAATCACATCATCAATGAAATTGTCAATTGATTGCATCCCTGCTAATAACTTTCTCATTAAACGGGTGAAACTAGCAGAAGCATTCACTAGCCCGAACGGCATAACTTTGAATTGATAGAGTCCAAGAGGTGATTGGAACGCCGTTATTTCTCTTGCAGACTCTGCCAAAGGACGTTGCCAATACAATCTGCACAAATCAAACTTGGAAACATATTTACAACCTGCTAACTGTACAAATACATCGTCTATGTTTGGAATAGTCTCGGCATCAAACACTGTAATTTTAGTGATTGCTCTAAAGTCAATACAAAATCTATTTGCACCGTCTTTCTTTTTCACAATCACAATGGGTGAACAATATGGACTGTTCGAACTTTCAATCACTCTCGACTTTAGCATGTTTCTTACTTCCTCGCACACTTCATCACGAGTTGTAAAAGGTAAAGGGTATGGTTTTGGATCGCACAGGCTTGTCACTCGTTAACTTTATATAGTGCTCATCCAATGTCGTACATCCTGGAATATCTGATAACACATCACTATACTCTTCAAGTAACGATTTCACTTGTTCATGTTCACTTATTGTCAGTTCATCACTTACTTTGACATCACTGGGTTTCTCCTTCGAAGTGGGTAGTGTTGAATCTATCAAATCACTGTCGTCAACTGAATCGTCTTCTTCAACATCCACCATAGCTGCACTAGCGACACCTAAGATACCAGCATCAACACAACATTCTTTCCTGTCAAAATATAACTTGAGCATATTTGCATGGAATGTCTTAATTTTGCCGTTCATGTCTATTCTATAATCAACTTTCCCCAATTTCTTCACTATCTCAAAAGGACCTTTCCATTGCATTAACAATTTGTTGCTATCTGTTGGTAAAAGTACAAGCATCTTCTCACCTACTGACATGTCTCTGTTTTTAGCCTTCTTGTTGTAGTCTGCTCGGTAACTTTCGGATGTGATCTCTAAATTCTCTCTGGCCAACTGACAAGTAGACTCTAGGCGTTCTCTTAGATCAACAACATATTGATAAGTACTTCTCACCTCAGAATCCGTCTCTTCTTTTGTCCAAAGCTCTCTAGGATTCTCATCGGACCCCTGACTCTGTGTCCGTATACCAATTCGAATGGCGAAAATCCCAAGCTCTCCTGTGGGGCATCTCGATACGCAAAAAGTGCTGCTGACAGGTACTTGTCCCAGTCTTTTGGACGCTCTGAACAAAGTCGTCGAAGAATCTGCTTCAGGGTACCATTAAATCTCTCCACCAAGCTGTTACACATCGGGTGATAGGGTGTCGTGGAAAACTGTTTCATCGAAAGTAAACGACTTACTTCACCCATCAACTCCGAAGTAAACTGTGTCCCCATGTCTGTACGCATCTCTTTCGGAACTCCGATTCTGCAAAATATATCTACTAAAGCCTCAGCTACTCTTTCAGTTTCTATACCTCTGAGTGCAACCGCTTCTGGATATCGTGTTGAAAAGTCAACTAAAGTTAAAATATAACGATTACCGTTATCTGTCATTGGCTGTATTGGTCCCACCAGATCAACTGCTACGCGTCTGAATGGCTCATCTATGATCGGCATAACACTCATTGGAACTTTAGTTGTCCTATCTTTAGGAGTAGTCCTCTGACATATGTCGCACGATCGACAAAACCGTCTTGCGTCAGCCTGGACTCCTGGCCAATAAAACTCAGCTAGCACTTTATCAATTGTCCTTGATGTAGCTAAATGACCTGCCATTAAAGTCTCATGTGCAAGTGATAAAACTTTCATTCTGTACTTCTTAGGAACAACTAGTTGAGTAAACTGCTTACCATTCTCGACTTTCTCTGACTGGAAAACTCGAAACAGCATACCTTTCTTCAAAATGTACTTCACTCTGTTGTAGTTGGTTTCCTTCCAACCAAAGCTCTGAGATTCTTCAGCGTCTCGTCTTCTTCCTGTGCTTTCAACATATCCTCTGGACAAACTTCAGATCCTATTATTTCTGGAACAGAAAGGGGTTTTATCTTCTTACCTTCCATGCGTTTTTGTTGTCTAGTCACTACAGCATTCACAGCACTAGGCTTCCAGTCCTTGTTCGGATCGTGAGGATCTCTAGCATGCGGAATGTTTCCGATAATCAAAGGATATAATGGAGCATGTAGGCACC